ATACCACGTGTAAGGTTCGATCAATTTACACTCACAAAGGGGAACATGTTAACATATAATTAAAATTATATAATTTTAATGAAAACGACAAAAAAAACAAATTGTAAGCCTTTAAAAAAAAAAAATCATAAGCAAATTCCTTTTTTTCTTTTAACCAAAAAAAAATTATTACATGATGAGAAGTTTTTTTTCCTATATATTAGTGACTAATGGACTTGTGATTTAAGTTGTGAACATGTTGACAGTTTTTTTTCTTTTTTTTTTCTTATAGGTTATTTATGTTTATTTTTAGTTTAATATTTAAGTGTATTTAGGTTTTGTTTTTGGTTTTCTATTTTGTTTTGTTTAGTTTAAGTTCTATTTTTTGTTAATATCATGTTAAAGTTGATGTTTTGTTTCTTAAATGAGTGATAAATAAGTCAAACCCATTTTGAGAAGTGTCTCTCACTACTAATAGTGATGTCGAAAAGATGTCATGGTTAATCAAAGAACTAGATCCTTTTAATATTCAATGCAAAAGTAAGGTGAATGACGTAAATAATAAAAAACTTATATTTATTTTTCAAATCAGAAAGTAGTTCACTGAATTTTCAATACCACCAACTAGGAGTGGGCTCGGTTTGGGTTGGTTCAAGTTTGACCCGAATCGTCCTCGGTGTAGCACTTTCTTTCACCGACGCTAAACCACCACCTCCTGTTAACTAGAGCCCTCGATAAACTGGTTGAATGGTTGGGTTGGCTCGGTTTCAGTGTTTGAGGTGTAGAGATGACTGAGACATGTTGTGTGATATGGGCTTAACGACTACTTCGTGGCTGTAGACGACGATAACTACGACTTGCGGTGATGATAACCATGATGACATGAGAAGAGAGAAATGGAGGAAAAAAGAGAGAAGAAGAAGACCTGACAGAAAAAAGAAAGGGAATAAGGGAGGAGGAGGAAGAAGAAAGAGAGGGCGATATGTAGAGAGATGAAGTTCGACGCATCACTTTTGTTCAAAATAAAAGATATGTGTTAGTGTTAAAGCCCAAACACTTTTATATTATTTTTTAATTCCGTTAATAAGCCCTTGAATACGATAATTATACAATAAAAACACAACAATTATTGCTACCGCAGTGGTATGTAGACTATCTTTCATGCAAGACGGATTGAGTTCGAGCCTTCATGGTGGCAACATCACAGTATTGTGAGCTAGCTGGTTCGGTTTAAATGAATCAGCGGGTTAAATATTAATCAAATCGAACTGATCAGTTTGGTCCAGTTTTCCACCAAAATTAAATATTAAAAATTAAAAAAACCAAACCAAACTAACCCAAACGGTTTGGTTTTGCCCACCCCTACCACCAACAATGTAAAGTAACGGGTGTATTCAATTGAGATTTTAAAAGACAATTTTGAGATAAATAAGTCTTGTGGTATTCAATTAAGACTTTTAAATTATCTAGGTTTTAAGGGGGAGAGCTATAAATAACAAATACCATAATAAATCCAACCTCCCCCCCCAAGTATTTCATCATACGTTTTTCTCTTGCCCTAGCTTTTCTCTTTGCAACAGAAGACGAACAGCTTCCTTCCTCCATCTATGAAGGTATGCTCCCTATTTATTCTTTGATCAATACCTCGTTGGGTTTTCTTTTTCCATGATTTTTCTTCATTGTGTTTTTCTTGTTATTAGGGTATAGTTTGGGGTTAGGGAGTATGCTTGTTACTAGGGTTTATGCTTTGTTATTAGGGTTTATGCTTGTTGCTAGGGTTTATACTTGTTTTTCTTCTGAAATATCTATATACGACTTTATGAGAATGTTCATTGAATCACTAGATAGGAAATTGAAATATAGTAATTGACAACCTTTCTATAATCGAACAAAAAAATGAGACAAATATAGATAAACAATAAAAAAAACAAAAAGCCGAAAATTAACTACAACTTTTAAATGCTGTTTTGGGAGCCTAAACGACCTCAAAATCCCAAAATCCACCATATATCACAGCATAGCAGTGAGGTTGATTGGTGGCATCGTTCCCTTTTCAAAAAGGCATCATACGCCCCAATCGAAGTTCAGAAGGCAAATCTGTAAATTCCTACTGCGTCCTTTTTCCATTCTTCACTCCAATTCTTCTTCAATTCATTCAACCATTTGTTCTACATCATCCATGTTTGTATTCAACATAAGATGTGTCGTGTCTGTTAGGATCTATGGTTATTGATGTACATATTTTAGGATCAATGTTTGGGTGGAATTGTATTTATTTTCCTTAAACTTTTCTTCCAAATTTGTAATACATTTGTCACTATATTTCTTCTGAATTTTGCTTCTCGTCAAACATAATTTTATTTCATGTTGTTGAAGGAAAATATGTTATGAATTTGACTTTTTATTTCATGTTGTTTAAAATTTTATTTCATGTTGGTACAAATCAAGTATCAAATCATCTCTAGAAATTGGATCACAATTAGATACATTGACAACAGCAGGTGGGTTTACATTCTTTATCGTATTCTCTAGTCAAGTTATAAGTAAAAATCTTTTCATGTGTAGCCGATTCTAATAGAAAGCTAACTTGTTACGTGTATTATTAACAGAGACATTGATAGGGAGGAGTTTAATAAAGTCATGACTTTGATGAGATCTTAAAGCAAACAAAACAAGGATGGCCACAGGCTCAAAGTTTTTGTAGAAGACGGAGGCCTACTTGCAGTGGCGGATCCAGGATTATGTGGCCAAGGGGGCTTAGTGTAAAAGTTCTGAAATTTTTCTACAAAGAAAATAATGCTAAAAAGATAGAAAGATAGTACTTCCATTCATAATTCATAACAAAACCAATAATACAAATTACAATTGTCCACGACGAGTTTTCATATTCTGAAAACATTGCATTATAGTTTCGTTATCAATACAAGCAAAAACATCTCTCTCAATGTAAACAATCAAACTATCATTCAACCATTGATCTCCCATTCTGTTGCGAAGTAGATTTTTAATAATATTCATGGCGGAAAATGTTCTCTCCACTGAAGCAGTTGCAACCGGTAAAACCAAAGCCAATGTAAGAAGTAAATACACATAAGGAAATATTTCATGCATTCCTTTCTCCACCATTTTTTCCGCAAGACTACTAATCCCTTCCAATTGAGAAAAATCAATACTCGAACGCATATGATGAACATAAACACCAAGTTGATCTTCAAGCATCAATAAGTCTCTATCCGAAAAATCATAAGGATAAAATTGAGCAAGATGAACTAGCTTTCGTTTGTCAAAAGCTACAAAGTTATTTTTCGGACTCAAGCATGCCAAACAAGTAAGTAACTCAGTACTTACCTCGTTGAAGCGATCATTTAGTTTCACAAGTTGTCCATCAATTACATGAATAACATCTCAACACGATAACGATGATAATTTGTCTTCATTGGAGCATTACGCCGTGACCTCCCTGGAATTACATATTCCTCATCCATGGTAGGAACTATAATATCATGTTTGTAACAAAACAAAGATGCTTGCTCAACCAATTCTTCAAACTCATTATCCCTCATGAACTGCAGGTTTTCCTTGCATGTTGTCACTAAACTCATTGCACTCACAATGTCTTGATCTTTCTTTTGCAATGCTAGAGACAAAGTGTTTGTTATTCCCAATATAGCTTTCATTAAAAATAAGTGAAACACAAACTCAAAAGATTGTATTTCTCTCCATAACTTATAAGCTTCACCCGAACTATCATTAGGATTATCATCAACAATCATTTGAAGCACATTCACCACATATGGGAACATAGAAATTATACTAATCAACGTACCATAATATGAGTTCCATCGTGTATCGCCGGCACGTTTGAGAGTAGTTTCTTGATTTAAGCCCCGCCCCGTTATAAGACAATCTTCTTCAAAAGCTCTCACAAGCTCTTCTTGGTATTGTGCTCTAAGTGCATCCCGACGCTTACAAGATGCTCCAACAACATTGACCAAACTATTAGCCGTTGTGAAAAAAGAGTTGACATCAATGTTTTTCTTTGCTACCGCAACAAGAGCTAGTTGAAGTTGATGAGCAAAACAATGAACATAAAATGCACAAGGTTGTTCTCTCAAAATCTTTGTCTTAAGGCCATTGAACTCACCTCTCATATTACTAGCTCCATCATAACCTTGTCCTCGTAACTTGGAAAAGCTCAAATTCGCGGAAGAAAAGAATTCATCAATGGCTTCCTTTAGTGCACTTGAAGTAGTATCGGTCACATGTTGAACCCCCACAAACCTTTCAATTATTTGTCCTTTGTCATTCACATAACGAAGCACCATCGCCATTTGCTCCTTTATTGAAACATCACGTGCTTCATCCACCATTATGGAAAAATATTTATCATTCACATCACTCAAGATAAGACCAATGGTTTCTTTAGTACAAGAATTGACAAGATCTTTTTGAATTGAAGGAGCTATTAACTTCAAATTTCCTGGAGCATTTTCCAACATAACAGCCTTAACTTTTTCATCATGATCCGCAAGAAATTGCAAGAGCTCTAAATAATTCCCTCTATTACTTGATTGTGCACTTTCATCATGACCACGAAAAGAAAGACCTTGTCGCAACAAATACCTAGTGCACTTAAGTGATGCATTCAAGCAAGTGCGATAAGCCGTGCAAGCTTAGCTTGTTTGCTTGATGACAATTGTTTCAATATGTGTAGTTTGATGCATCAAATTGTAAGCAACTTCTCTAGCTTGGTTGTGAACACTACCAACTGGTCCAACATGAAGATTAAATCTTTCTTTCGCCTTCTTCCAATTATTGAAGCCTACCCCAGTGAATGCATCACCACCCACTTGATCAAAATTTGATTTGAAGAGATAACAATGAAGACAAAATGCAGCATCTTTAGCAATACTATATTCCAACCAATCATGATCATCAAACCAATTAGCAATGAAGCGTCTATTAATTCCTGATTGATTAGTTTGTGGGAATTTATAACTTCTAGGTTGACAAGGTCCCTTTTATAGATATGCTCTTCGAATCTCATCCCGAATATTAGGACTATAATCCGCCATTCGAGTTCTTAGTCCAGGGTCTGCCTGAAGATTAGCTAAGATCTCATCTACTTCAATTAGACTTGCATTTGAACTACCCGGATTAGACGGAGAAGGACTATCCGTAGATAATTTTCTTTTAAAGAATCGTTTCATAAATCTACAAATCAATTAATTCAATCAATCATTAATTTTCACCCAAATTATCATATGAATATGAAAATGTCAATAACTCACTCTCAAAATTCAATATACTCCCTAAACCCATATCAATCAATATTCAATATACTAAATTATCATATCAAATATCAATTAATATTCAATATACTCAATCAATTCACATTTTCAATCAAGCATAAACTCAATCAATCTACATTAATATGATTATCACTATGATTCATATCATATCCATAAATTTCATTACATACAAAAAATATCAATATTATTCATATCCATAAATTTCAAGCATTAACTCAATAAAGCATAAATTCAATAATCATATAGCAATAAATTAAACATTTTCCATAAATTTCATATCAACAACAACAATAAATTTCAATATCAACAACAACAACAATATATATTAAACATTTTCCATAAATTTCATAGCTAAGCTTACTTGTAGTTGAAAACAATGGAGGATGAGGGAGGAGGACGGCGGCGAACGGTGGTGATTGGTGGCCCAGCGAAGAGTTGATGATGGAGGTTGTTGGAGGTTGGGAGGTTGGGGGAGAGGTTAGGGTTTGAGAGGGTGGGGAGAGGAAGTGTGAAATTGGAAATGAAGGGTTTGGGGCTGCTATGCAGATTCGCAGGCTGGTTGTTTGTTTTTTTTTATTTTTTTTTTCTCAAAACGACGTCGTCGTTTGAGGCCAGGTCATTTTAAAAAAAATTGACTGAGCCTTTGCCAAACGACGTCGTTTGGCAAGGCAGTTTTTAAAAAAAATTACGCAAGGCGCAGCGCAGCTGCGCAGCAAGCTTCCTCTTCTCCTGAGACTTTCATCGAGCAGATGGCGTGCATCCAAGGGGGCTTCCAGCAGCTGTCCAAGGGGGCTTCAATGGAGTCCCAGGCCATTTTTCCAACCTTCCAAGGGGTCGTCCGACCCCTGTTGTCCCAACGTGGATCCGCCACTGCCTACTTGAGCACGTCTTTTGTTTTTTTAGGGCCTTTATCATACTTCATTTTTTGCCTATGGCAGTCAACTGATCTTTTCCTGTTTGTTTTTCTCATTACGACTACAAAGAACAAGGAACCATATTAGCTAAAGAAATTATAGAAGTCTGGAATAAAAGCCATACAAATCTTATGAAAGTTTATAAAAAAAAATTATGTTGAAGTCTTCTGAAAGTCTATTAAGTTCTACACGAATTCTAAAGTTCCATCAAGTTCTATGAAAGTTGACACTTAAACAAAATCTTTTTAAATGCTCTAGAATCCTAATTAAATATACCCCCTTTAGACTATTAGGATTTTTAAAAAATAGTAGCCAAATCTAGTGGTATTCAATCCAGACTTTAAAATATGAAATACCTATCTCAAATCTCACCCTAACCCATTAATTTTTTGGGGCTCTTAGATATGGGTCCAATTTCAAGAATACAGTTTGATTGCAGGACAGTAATTGTTACCTATTAATTCCAATCATAAAGCCCACTCGTGCAGCCACCTAAGCAAATAGTGTGGCCACAAAATTTAATTTATTTACAACACCTGCCATTCTATACAAATGGAAAGTAAAGGACGTCTTTCCCAATCTGTTAATCCAAATCGCATATCTCAGATCCCCCAAATTGCAGAAATCCCAAAAGTCATGCTCCGTCTTTCCCAATTTTCACTGATTTTGTGGTTCCTTAATTGGAATATTTGTGGGTTTCTTCTAATAATTCACGATTACAGATGGAATAACCCAAATTTGTTGGATTATCAGAAACGACGACGTCCATTGAAGTACCTGTATCCCAGGTAAATTCTCTCGGTCAGCGTACGTTCATCCTTTTTCTATTATGGATTGTTCCTGATGGTTTCTGAGAGTGTTTGTTGTTGCTTTTCTCAATCATTGGTGAATGATTTTGCTGCAAATTTGTTCTGGCATATCCAACTTTATTTGATGGCTTATGAATCTGTAATAGAGAAATATCATAACTGGGTTTAATCATCAATTAGAACCTGATGTATAGGTAATTTCCGATCTTGTACCTATGTTATAGGTATGTTGTGGTGAAATCCTCAACATCCTGTATTTTGGTTTGTCGCCGTCTGTTTTATTTGTTGTGCATTGTTTGTTTTGAATCATGATTAACAATTTAAGATTGTCAATGTTGTAGATATATAGACTTTGGATTTAGCTAAACTTTGCCTATGAAATATAGGCAAAACGTCACCCAAAACCTCTATATCTTATAACATGTTGTCTTTTATCATATATGCAGTCATCCATTTGATATGCAGTCATCCATTTGATAAGCAGTCATCCATTTGGTGTGAATGAAAACGAAATTCATTGTGTGGAATACAAGGAACAGAGTACAAGATGAAATGGTTTCTTCATCTTCTTCCTATGGTATAAGTAGAGGACCAATTCCCATGAGAGAGAATATGAAATTCGTTCAGGAAGCAGGTTTAGTTATCGTCAAATACATAGTTGGGGTCCTCAATTAGAAAACGAAAACAAAAAGAAATTGGTTCAGGAAGCAGTAGTTACATATACAAATTCGTTCAAGAAATAGGTTTTGTTAACGTCAAAGGTTTCCACCTACAAAAGAGGTAAATATACAACATACTTGGAACACATGCACTGCAATTGATGGAGAAGCAAGATGAGAATCCCCAAACGACGGCAAATTCCATCGCCTGCAATTGAAGAAGACGAAAGGCAAATTCAACTTTAAAATGAAACCCAAAACCCTCGACAATTAAGAAGCATGAAATCTGCAGAAATCGGCTTGACATGGCCATAATTGATTGTGGAAGATACGATTTCTGCGATTCTTTCTATTCTTGGCGTTTGAAGATTGTTTAACGCGATTTTTGATATTTTGCTGGCTTTTAGGTTATCCGATTTCTATCTTAGGGGCAAAATGGGAAGCACAACATAAATTAAAAAATTAAGAAAATAAAATATAAACCTTAGAAATTAAAAGAAGGTAAGTAATCCTATATGGCACAAAAGTCAGAGGACTTGAATTACTAACAATAAATGTGTGGATTGCACCCAAATTTTGTCATAAGAATTGGACTTATACCGAATTTTCTATTTTCATGTGAGATTTTTTTATTCTTTCCTCACTTTGACCTCCACCCAAGCAGTTATGCACTGACCCTTGATGACCAAACAACCGATACTCAGAGCCACATGCTGTTGGGGTATAAGAAGTAAAGGTCATGGCCTTCCTTCCATCTCCATTACCCAAAGTGTTGCATAAATCTTTTGAATTCTCCATCAACTTTAACTCCCCAATTTAAAGTTACAAAAACTAATATCTATCTCTAAAGAGTAAACGTTTATACATTCACTGTTGTTTCTTGTAGAATTGAAACAAACACAATAGTCCCTAGTTGGGATTTGAATGATTTGAAGTTTGAAGAAACCAATGACAAAAACAAAGTATTTCTAATGTGTGTGTTGTTGTCATTTTCTTTAAAATCAAAGTATTGCTAATCCGATGTTTGGTAAGCGATCACAGTATGCCCACCAAGTGTTTGACAAAAGTCTACAAAGAGCTTCACTTTAGAGGCGGAGCCACAGTGGGGTCAATGGGGTCGCATGACCTATTGGAAGCCATGGAAATAAGCTTAGAGGACCCTTGGAGCTGCACACCACGTGGTCGACAAAATGTCTGAAAGATGAAGGAAGAGTTCGCTCGCAGGTTGAAGAAGAAGGAGGCTAGCTAGAGCGCGCTATTTTTTTTTTAAAACAACCTGGGCAAAACGACGTCGTTTTGGCTCAGGGAATTTTTTTAAATGACATGGCCAAAACTACGTTGTTTTGGCCTAGGGAATTTTTTTTTTAAATGACTTGGCCAAAACGACGTTATTTTGGGCTAGGTCTGAAGAAAAAAGAAAATGTCCAGCGTATCCTCCAGCCTCTCCTTTTCCACAGATCCGATTCCTCCATTCCAAAACCCCCAATTTTCTTTTGTTTTCTCCTCCTCCAACCTTAAGTTCCAAACTCAATCCCTCCCAAACCCTCAACTTCATCTCCTCCCTTACTACCGCCATTGAGGTGCCTTTGTGCTGCCGTCGCCGTCGCTATGGTGGTAGTGCCGCCAGCTACTCTCTTTGTATTTGCTCATTGTTATTATGAAATTTCACAATTCAAGTAAGTTCTAAACCCTATGTATGATATATTTAATTTAATTGAAACTTAATTCATATTTATTTTGATTATATTGGTGATTTGATTATATTGTGAGTTTTTATTTTCATTATTTTGTATATGTAGAATATATTTAATTTAATTGAAATTCAATTCATATTTATTTTGATTATATTGATGGTTTGTTTATATTGTGAGTTTTTATTTTCATTATTTTGTATATGTAGAATATATTTAATTTAATTGAAATTCAATTCATATTTATTTTGATTATGTTGATGGTTTGTTTATATTGTGAGTATTTATTTTGATTATTTTGTATATGTAGAATTATTATGGAACGGTTTTTTAAGAGAAAGTCATCATCGGGTTCGGGTAGTACGAATAATGTTGATAGTTCAAATACTGTTGGTAGTTCAAGAACTCCAAGTTCAAGACAAAGTCAGTTAGATGATGTTTTGGGTAATCTTCAAGCGGACCTTGGATTAAGAACTCGAATGATAGATTATGATGCTAATATGAGAGATGATGTTCGAAGATCATATCTACAAAAAGGACATTGTCAACCTAGAGGTCATAATTTCCCAATAACTAATATGTCGGGAATTAATCGACGGTTCATTCCCCAATGGTTTGATGAGTTTGATTGGTTGGAGTATAGTATATTTAAAGATGCGGCATTTTGTCTCTATTGCTATCTCTTTAAAACCAATTTTGAACAAGTGAGTAGTAAAGCTTTCACTGGAGATAGATTTAAGAAATGGAAGAAAGGGAGAGAAAGATTTAAGATGCATGTTGGACCGGTTGAGAGTGTTCATAATAAGGTTAGAGAAGCTACTACAAATTTGATGAATCAAAATACATATATTGAAACGGCAGTGAACAAACACTCCGACCAAGCTCGTAAGGCTTATCGCACATGCTTGAATGCATCAATCAAATGCACTAAGTTTTTATTGCTACAAGGTCTTGCTTTTCGTTGCCATGATGAAAGTGTCACTTTAAGCAATAGGGAAAATTACTTGGAGCTATTGCAATTCCTTGCAGATAATGATGATAAAGTTAGAGAAGTTGTGATGGAAAATGCTCCGGGGAATCTCAAATTACTAGCTTCTTGCATTAAAAAATAAATTGTGAATTCATGTGCCCTTGAAACACTTGATGCTATCATGGATGGTCTAAAAGATAGATTCTTTTCAATATTGGTGGATGAAGCACGTGATGTGTCGGTGAAAGAGCAAATGGCTATGATGTTGCGTTATGTGGATGACAAAGGGCATGTAATTGAAAGATTTGTGGGTATCCAACATGTTACCAACACTACTTCAAGTTCACTAAATGATGCTATTGACACATTCTTTTCTCGCAACGGTTTGAGCATTTCTAAGCTACGAGGACAAGGTTATGATGGTGCTAGCGATATGAGAAGTGAGTTGAATGACCTTAAAACAATTATATTGAGAGAACAACTTTGTGCATATTATGTTCATTGCTTTGTTCATCAACTTCAACTAGCTCTTGTTGCTTTATCAAAGAAGAATATAGACATTGCCTCTTTTTTTGCAACGGCTAACAGTGTGGTTAATCATGTTGGAGCATCTTGTAAACAGTGTGATTTACTTAGAGGGCAACTCCAAGAAGAGCTTGTGATAGCTTTTGAAAATAATTGTCTTATAACGGGGTGATGCTTAAATCAAGAAACAAGTCTCAAATGTGCCATGGAACTCACACTATGGTACCTTGATTAGCATCATTTCTATGTTTTCATCCGTGGTTCATGTGCTTCAAATGGTTATTGATGATAATCTCAATGAAAGTACGGGTGAAAAAAATAAGTTAATAAGAGAAATACGTACTTTTGAGTTTGTGTTTCACATTTTCTGGATGAAAGTCATATTGGGACTCACAAATGATTTGTCACAAGCATTGAAAAAAAAAGATCAAGAAATTGTGAATGCAATGGCTTTAGTGAAATCATGCAAGGAAAAGCTACATTGGATGAGGAATAATGGGTTCGATGCATTGGTTGATGAAGTATCTTCTTTTTGTGAAAAACATCATATTGATGTTCCTAACACGGAAGAGACATTTATACTTCCAAGGAGGTCAAGGCGTAATGCTCCAATAAAGACAAATCGTCATCATTATCGTGTGGAGCTCTTTATTTATGTCATTGATGAGCAAATTACGGAGTTAGAGGATCGCTTTAATAAGGTAAATACCGAGTTGCTTATTTGTTTGGCATGTTTGAGTCCGAAAGATTCATTTGTAGCTTTTGATAAACCAAAGTTACTTCGTCTTGCTCAATTTTATCCTCAAGACTTTTTGGATGAGGATCGTTTGGCACTTAAAAATCAACTTGAGATTTATATTCATTATGTGCGTTCCAGTAATGATTTCTCTCAATTAGAATGGATTGGTGATCTTGCAAAAAAAAAGGTGGAGACAAGGATGCATCAAGTATTCAATTATGTATATTTGCTCATTACATTATCTTTAGTTTTACCAGTTGCAACTGCTTCAGTGGAGAGAACATTTTCTGTCATGAATATTGTTAAGGGTCAACTTAGGAACAAAATGGGAGATCAATGGTTGAGTGATAACTTGCTTGTTTATATTGAGAGAGATATTTTTGCTTATATTGAAAATGAAGCTATAATGCTTCCTTTTCAAAATATGAAACCTCGTCGTGGACAATTATAGCTTGTAATATTGTTTCCGTTATGAATTATGAATGAAAGAACTATGATTTCATTTTCAATATGTTTTTCCATCCTACATTTTTATTTGGACTTTTACACTAAGACCCCTTGTGATATTCCTGGCTTCGTCACTGGAAACAGCGTGTGCTGCTATTCTTTTATTTAAAGAAAAAGGCATGGGCGCTAAGTTAGTATACGCTCTATTGTTTCAAAAAAGCAACTTGCCTTATAAATAACTAGACTTTTTTTGTTGTTGCTTTTAATAGGAAATAATTAGACATGATTTGTTGAATGCTTCTTCATTTTCACATTGAGGTTATAAACAATAATACAAATTCAAGATAAAAACCTATAAATCAGTATAAATGGGAAAAGTGCAATTGGTTTTATTGTTTGCATGACATGTCTCTCTATGGAGATTACATCACATCCATTGCATTTCGCATATTACATATCCTTAAGGCAGGTTCAGTATTTTTGAGGTATTAGTTAAATCCAAATAGTCCTTTCAAATTTAACAAATCTTTTAAAATCTATAAGTAAAAAATATTGATTATATAAATTCATAAATAAAATCTTATAAATCATCACATTCTCCTTAAACCCACTAGACTTTTTTATTATTCATAAATAGTCTTTTAAGGAGGTTGAGTATTATGCAACCACAATCCTTTAATATTCCAATGACACATGTCAATATCAACCCACATGACTGATTTTTTCCAAACAACAAAATATTTTTATTTTTTTTGTATTTGTTTAATAAAAACAACTAACTTTTTTTTTTTTTTTTTTTTTTTTTTTTTTTTTTTTTTTATTATAAAAAATTGGTCCTATTGAATACACTCTCAATTATCCCATTAATGAAGGTTATCAAAAGCCGTCTTTTCCATCACGTACGAGGGACATGTGGACCCATTCGTATGTATTTCTGATTTCTGATTTAGGGTGATATTGAAATGTTATTGAATAAGTGTTTTGGTTCCAAATGGAAACTATTGAATACTTAAACAATGTGTAACCATGATTACGCCAATTGCACATCTTATTATTTTTAAATTACACTAAATTACTTACATATTACCAAATGCTGATCACAAATGCAACTTAGGGTTTTCTCAAATGTAATAAAAGGATATTTGCACTTACCACTTCTGAAATAAACAATTCGCTTTTGCAATCTCTTCAATGTAACCTTTGCTCCAAGGATTGTACGAAATGACTTCTCCTCTTCTACTCAAACTATCTAACTGATTTTACTGGTAGCGTATGGGGTTGCCTTTCAACCTTCATGGATTCGCACAACTAGTCGGATTCCAAAACACCTTGGCTTTCAAATTTATAGTTTCTTGGCGCTTTTCTGCGATTCTGTATTCAAACCTCGTTGTTAACTTTTGATGGGTTCCTTATTTAAAGTTTGGGGGTTTCAAATTTGGGTTTCTTTTACAAGTTTGTACATGCAACCTTTTCAAACCCATATTTTAATCTTAGTTGTCCAAGTTCATTGAATGACCACTGTTGTTGTCTGCAAGTCACGTTAGTTACGGACGTCCTCGTAAGAGAAAATTTTCATATTCCTTATATTTGCAACCCAAAACTTGTCTCTGGACACCCGTGCATCTTTAGTGAATTGAGCAACCCCTAAATCACGTAAAAATTACGTAGGTTGTGTTTTTCCAAAGCATGATCACAAATATGTTCGATTCGAAAGAGAGTCCAAGATGTTAGTTGTGCCAAACTTTAGGTAAGTCAAAATATCTATCAATAACTAATACTTTAGGCATATTTTCACATATAATCATCTTTGACAGGCTAAGATGAACAACAAAGATTTTAAGCAGAAAATGTAAGGTTTTTGTATCTTTTCATATTTTGTTTTTTCTTTCGTTCAAGAAAACTAGAGTTTGTGATACATAATTTCCTTTTACGCTTTAAAATAATCTATAGTCAAGAAAAACATCCCATATTTTACAATTTACTTAGTCAACATAAATATGGTAAAACAAAGAATTATATTTAGAGCATAACCAGGAAATAGTTACATCAGGTTTTTTAGTCGAGCAAAGTTCTTTAGGACAACTTTTTGTTGAAAATAACCACCATCTTCATTCATTTCCTTCCAGACTAAAAAAAGTGATAAGTTACTATCTCCATCTCTAGGAATAAGTAAACCTAGATTTCACCAATATTCCTTTACAATAGTTTAAGCATAATATTTACCTAGATAGAGCAAGATGAGACTTAATTATTTCTCACAATGAACTGTCCACTCATCCAGATTTTGAAACTACTAATATTCTTACTAAACAAGATATCAAGAGATATAGAGAAGCATCATTGGCACAACAACAACAATTCAGTCCAATTCCATGAAGATATATTCTAGATTCTAGCATGAAGACTTGACGAAACATATAAATTTAGGCTAAGCAAGATAGGAGAAGAGACTTTTGAAGTAACGTACAATCAATTAGCAAACCAACTAGAAGCAAAAGATGATGACAACTTATACTGAAATAATTTAGCAAAAGAAGAGATCCACAATATTGAGAACATGATGGAAGCGTAAGAAAAACAAAAATCTCCCAACAACACAAGCCTTTAAAAGCAGTAATAGCAGCACCAATCCACGTTAACCATATCATCGAAATAGCCATAATAGAAGTAGTAGAAGCAACAACTGTCCATCATTTGTGTAGTATCAAAATTTACAAAAGAAAGTGGGACCATGTTTGACACTATACAGAAAGCAAAGAAGAAAATGTTCCTTGTCACCATCTAAAATGCAAAAGTAGACTTCCAAAACAATCTACAAAATGAATAAAGGCATTATTTCCAACCACTACAAAATACATCCTTATATAATATTACGCACCAAACTTGTCCCAAAAGTTTATAATATAATGATTCCATAATTATTTAAATTTCCCATTCAAATTTTTTTTTACTAACTTTTTTCTCTCACTTCCCTCTGTACTCTCCCCTCTCTTTTATGACCATGATTTTTCATTTTTTCATTTTTAAGTTTTCTAAGATTACAAACTAGAGGAGGGCAAAATAGAAAACAAGGAATGGAAACTTTGACATAAAAGAAAAAGGAAGTGTAGAAATTGCGGAATGTTTTTGTTGTAAAAAGTTGGGTTAGATAGAAGGAGTGGGACCAAAGAGACCGTCTGATGGCAAATTTGCCCCTGAAAAAATGCTTTGCTGGCAACATAAATCATTACATTTCGGTCTTTCATTGGCCAACATTAAACACTTTGGATTATACAAAACAGTGGCAAAAAACATATAAAACAAAGCAGACAGGGACCGAAAAGAAAAAAAGATAAAGTGAGATGCAAAGCATACATAAACCGGAAAAAGCGCGTCAAATAATCCGCTGATTATATTATTTGCTCTGTTGTTTGTCACTGCCAGTGTCCTTGAAGCCCACACACACACACGCGAACTCTCTCTCTCTCTCTCTCTCTCTCTGCGCAAAACACACTCTCTCTGAGCTCTTGCTCAGATCCAGGTTTGTCTCCTCTTCATTCTCTTAAGCTTCCAATACCTCTGTTTGAAGTAACTTTGGGATTTAGATATAAGCTTCTGCTTCTGCTTCTGTTTGGTCTCTGAGAAAAGAAGAGAAAAAAGAAAAACAGTATTTACACATTTCTGGGTTTAGTGTTTTGGGGCTGTTTTGATCTTTCCAGATTGAAGTACTAAGCTCAAGTACTTTAGTTTTCTTGGGTTAAATAGGAATACTAAGATTCGAAGTTTATATTAGTTTTCTTAGCCATTTTTTCATGTTTTCAGCTACCAAACAAAAATTTAGTGTATTTATGTGCGTGTTCTGGATAGATAAGTACATGAATTTTTTCCACTTTCAGTTTAGTGGTGATTGGTTTTCTAATAATGTAGATTTTCTTTCACATTCAAGTTATTGTTTTTATTATTTATTTTTATAGGTTGAGATTTATTTTTTTAATTTATCGCTTTCTTTTTTCAATTTCTAAGGGTTCTTATATGATAATATTTCTATTTTAAGGTTTAAGAAGCAGTCTCCCTCGTGATGTCAATTTGGTTGCTGAGAAGAAACTATAGAAATAAGGAAAAACATTTTAGTATTTCCTTCTGGCGTCTTAAAAATGAAAAGGTTTCGCACTTAATTGTGTATTTCCATTTTTCCATTTTGGATTTCTCATCCAAGAAATATAAAAAAGAATCAACCCAAATTAACTTTCAATGACAAAATGCCTATTTGGAAAGGTTTTTGAAGAAAAGTAGTTGTTGCCAGTGAGGTTTTTCCAATATTCTGTAAACCCCAATGGCTTTCAATTCCAAAATCAAATTCGGCCTTAAATATAAAAATAAACTGATTTGGGTTGGGGGGTTGTCTTTCTAGTTAGTATGTAGTGACTTTCTGTTCCCGCAGTTTGAACATAACAGATAGTGGTTATGGTGGGTGTTTTTTATGCAGATTCCACAGAACAGGGTGTTTTTGACAAGTATTGAGAATTATGTTGGCATGGTAGTTATGCAAGTTTGTTGCTGATCATAAGTTATTGTAGAATGACTTGAAGTTTTGTAATCTTGGAGAAGATAATGGAAGAAATACAATCACAATCAGATAATTATAGGTCTTCCTCGTCTTCAGCAAGCAGTCCAGCAAGCAGGGTGCCCTCAAGTAACTTTTTCTACTTGCGAAAACCTGGCTCACTCAGACAACCCATCTCATTCGAAGATTCACCTGAATGGGAGGATACAGACATTGATGTTAGGGTGGAGGAAGGAGGTGACTCTATCAACATTGCAACCACACCGGTCTCCCCATCTCTTTCAAAACTCAATAGTGGGTCTTTGCCATCCCCACCATTACCAGAGGGTGCAACTGCAGTAAGAAAGATTGCAGGGGCTTCAGTTGTGTGGAAAGATTTGACTGTTACAATTAAGGGGAAAAGAAAGTACTCTGACAAGGTTGTGAAGAGTTCAAATGGTTATGCATTGCCAGGAACTATAACAGTAATTATGGGTCCTGCTAAATCAGGGAAGTCTACGCTACTAAGGGCAATTGCAGGTCTTCAAGCATGCACTTCTACTACTAAATTACTAATTGCTTATTTAGAATTTTTCCTTCTCTTATCATGGGATGCTTGAGTGCTAACTGTTGTTTGTTTCCCTTGCTTTAGGAAGATTGCCTCACTCAGCCAGAATGTATGGTGAGGTGTTTGTGAATGGTGCAAAATCGCACATGCCGTATGGTTCATATGTAAGTTCCAAGTAACCATCAGCATTTTGTTCAGTCTTTTATGTAGTTTTCAGCTCATGCATTCTTTTAATGCTTCCCTACTATTACCCAATTAATCCTGAGTTTTGTTTAAGAGATTATTTTGTTTTTCATGAGTCTGTGTCCTTATTGTTCCTCTTATCATCTTTCTGCAATTTCTGTTACATTCTCACACGAATGGGGTGATTTGTATAAGAAAAGCTTATTCAAGTGATTATATTAGCCTATGCTCTCAAATTAGTTTCATCGCGATAGAATTTCAATTGTTTAACCTTAGTCACTGTGACATGTGCTTTTCTTCAAAAAGTTGTTTGTTTGTTTTGTTTTTTTTTCAAAGTGGGTGTGTACAAGGTCTTTTTTTCTCTCTCTAGGGTTTAACTCTGTGTCTGTGATTCCAGCTTCATGCTTGTTAATCCAATTTGCAGGGTTTTGTTGAGAGGGAAATCACTCTAATTGGATCCCTCACTGTCCGGGAGTTTCTGTATTACTCAGCGCTGCTTCAGCTTCCTGGTTTCTTTTGTCAGAAAAAGAGCGTCGTAGAGGATGCCATCCATGCCATGTCACTGGATGACTGTTCAAACAAATTGATTGGTGGTTACTGTTATATGAAGGGCCTTTCAAATGGCGAGAGAAGGCGTGTTAGCATTGCCCGGGAGCTTGTGATGAGGCCTCATATTTTATTCATAGACGAGCCTCTTTATCATCTTGATAGGTAAACTTTATTTTGTTAGATTTAAAATTTTAAAAATGGCCTTGTGATAACTGCACTCCATGGGTTTTTAACACCATGGTTGACATGTAGCACTGTTTTGTGTGCAACCATAAGCAAGCATATATTTTCCATGGGAGCATTCCCGACTAAAACTCATGTTTCTATGATTGTCCTTGAACTCTCTCAGTTTCTTTGCATTACATGTTTGCCAAGCAATCGCAACTGGCCTGAGATATTGAAAAATTGATATTGTAATGAATTTACTTGATGATTTTTTTTTCCGATAATGAATTGGTTTAACATTATAACTGATATAATGTGAAATTATTGCTGCATTGTTTCCTGAGGGATCTGCAGTGAAATTAAAAGGTTTTGTATAGTCCTTCATATATATAGCTCACCACAGTGACTGCATGCTCATGAGCGATTTTCTTTCTATTGGAATATATTTGCTTCCTTGTAGTACCATATCTAAAGTGCTTTTTTTTTGTTCAGTGTCTCTGCACTTCTGATGATGGTAACGTTGAAGAAACTAGCAAGTACAGGTTGTGCTATTATATTTACCATTTATCAGAGCAGCACAGAAGTATTTGGCCTTTTTGATCGGATATGTCTGCTTTCAAATGGAAATACTCTATTTTTTGGAGAGACATTGGCTTGCTTACAGGTAAGTGATATGTAAATAAGTCTGTTTTGTCCTACTTCTATCCGATTGTGCATCAAATATTTAATTCTGGACTTGCTGACCCTACAATATATGAGTCACGCAAATTTTGATCAGGTGCTGTTTTCTTGTTGTTAGTGTTTGTATGTTTCATCTGGTTGCCATATTGAAAGAGAGAAGAATTTTTTTGAAGGAAGGAGAGAAGAATTTAAGAAACAACTTATGTTTTAAAAATTAGAACTTTAAAAGCTAATTTTTGGAAGCTAATTGGAGCTTTGTAGGTAATTGCTAACTAACATACCTTATGTTGATGAAGCACTTCTCAAATGCTGGATTTCCTTGTCCGATTATGCAAAGTCCTTCTGATCACTTTTTACGCGCAATAAATACAGATTTCGACAAGATCATTGCAATGTGCAAAAATTGGCAGGTAAATACTTGGGGATTGCAGTTTTTTCTGATTCCCATTGCATAAAGTGTATTGAAGATTCTTTAATTCTTGCTCTATAATTTTCCATTAGAAAAATAGTTTCAAAGTTGTTGAGCCACATGTTTTGATTTTGAATTAGAGGTGGAACGATGTGTAACAATATTTGTGGGCCAATATGTCTATAGACTTTAGCAGGACATTTACATTATTACTTTGTTTAACATATGCTTTGCATGGACTGCAACATGATGGCAGGATGACAATGGTGATTTTTCATCAGTGAACATGGATACAGCTGTGGCAATACGTACCCTTGAAGCAACTTATAAATCATCAGCTGATGCTGCTGCAGTTGAAACTATGATATTGAGACTTACGGAGAAGGTATAAGTTTGATATGCTCGTATCTATACATCATAAATCCTGGGTGCGTCCATGAGTGTGCAGCTGTGGTATTCTGCATCATAACTGGAAGTTTCATTTTTGCATGTTGGGTTCCATAACTTCGGTGATATATATGTATAGGTTAGCTTCTGTAATTTTCTTAACTCCCAATGTGCATTTGCTTCTATAGGAAGGTCCAGTACTTAAAAGCAAGGGAAAGGCTGGAACTGCTACACGAATTGCAGTTTTAACTTGGAGATCATTATTAATAATGTCAAGGGAATGGAAATACTACTGGCTTCGTCTTATTCTTTATATGATTTTTACACTCTCTGTTGGTACAGTATTTTCTGGCTCGGGGCACTCTTTGTCTTCAGTTGTGGTGAGTTACATAACATCACTTTTTTCAATCATTTAGACAAAACAATAAAAATAAAAATTGCACATTTTGGAAAACGAATTCCTACTTCTTTTCATTTTTCTGTAGCTAAATAGCTAAAATGTGTGTATCATAATAACCAAAATGGTTTGACCAAAAAAAAAAATCACCAAAATGGTTACGTCTTCTGTACTGCTTTATTTTATGATCAGTCAGTTTAATTTTATTAAATATAGCCTCCATATCGCCTACTGGAATTGTTGTTTGATCCCAAAGAAATTTTTTATTTAAGGAGATGCCTTACTCACATAAGCTAGAATTCAGTTCATATTTGAGTTAAATATAAAAATAGTCAGTTTATCCGGAAGGAGATTTTAAATAAGGGTGATGTGAGATAGCCATCAATAGTAGTCATTATGTGATTTGGTTGGATTTATTCAAATAACTTAGACTAATTAAGGACGCCAAAGTTAAAATATAACAGGTTTTTGAAATGAGAAGTCAACTCCTTAGAATTCAATACGTAGCTAGCATCTACTTTGAATACTCTTTTTTGGACTATGTTTCATGTGCCATAGGTTTTCAACTTTCAGCTTCCCAGAAGCCAATTGTGTTGTAGCTTGTCACCTGCAAGGCTTCCTATAGGAAAATCAGATGCTATAAGGAAAATCACAATGGCAGATTTGATGGATCACTCTGCTTATAAACCTCCACTGGATATCAGCTGCATGACATTAGCACCCAAATAAGAATTTTTAACAAAATCTGTTCATGGTTTTTCTTAATTAATGATGAAGGTTTTACGTCGAGCATAAAATAATTACTCTTCAAGTCTGATTTTGGAAAATGTTCTTGTTGCTTACCGTCTTTATTTAGATGCATTTGCAAAACTTGTTTGTTTGTGTGGTAATTGAGTTGACTTTGTTTTTTTTCACCTTCCATGTGCCGAGAAGAGTTGCAGCAACGTATTATTTGTTTCTTCACTGCACTACTAAACACTGCTGGAGTAGTTTTATACTAAGTTCTACAGTATAAAACTGTAATAATAAAATCTGTTCACTGATTTCTTTATAATGCTAAACCTTTTATGTCAAACGTAAGATACGTACTTGTTGAAGTCTGCTTCAGGAAAATGTTGCTGCTTGTCTTCTCCTCACGCACCCACATTATTTGTTATCTTGTGTGGCATCTGAGTCACTTTCTTCTTTGTTCAACTTTTATATGCAGACAAAAGTTGCAGCAATATTTGTATTTGTTTCATTTACTGCGCTACTAAGCATTTCTGGAGTACCTGCAGTTATAAAAGAAGTCGAGGTAACCCTGATTGTTTTCTTTCTCAGAAGTTGACTTGAAGAAGCATTGAATTTTCCCAAGTTATGATTAATATAGTGCTAACATCTGTACATAATTATATGAATTATGCGTATTATGGTTTGTTAAGGAAGAACCCCAGATCTTGTGCTGGTTTTTCTTGGCAATCTAGTCTTCGGTGATTAATCCTGTAAAAGATTGATCTCTCTTTTTAAACTTTGGCAGCTTTAAAGACATTTCATCAATTTAGGACAATGATAATGGTATACTAATGACCCGTGAGTTGTGGTCCAGTGGTTGGGGGACTTGTTGCGGAACCGCCTGATTGGGGTTCGAAACTCACTGAGGTACCTGTCTAGCAATTTATTGCTAGAGTTTGGAAGATGACTCATCTTCCAAACTGGGGACTACCTATCTAGCACTTTGTCAGTTTGGAAGATGAGTCAGCAAAGCTGACAAAGTGGAGTTCTGGGTTTAAAAAAAATAAAAAAATAAAAAATAAAAAATAAAAAAGGTATACTAATGCCACTTTAAGTGACTGGTTTTCTCAAGGAAATAATAGACAAGCTTACAAACTAACATTAGCTGTTGGACTGTGATTAAGTCTTCCAGGCTCACGTATAAGATCCCTTTGCCTCTTCATGATCACATGCAAACTGGGGCATGGTTATTCAATACATCAATTCCCTGAAATGCAGAGGTGGAATGGCTTTATATGAGTCTTTCAATATATATTTAACAGAACATATGAACTGCATGGTTCCAAAGATACGAAAGTAGTCTAGAAAAAACAAAAATGAAAAACCTGTTAAGCTTTTTACGCATTATTTTTAGGGAGTTTCACTAAAACACCCAAAATGGGGGTTGAAATTATAAAAAAACCCAAGCACTATTTAAATATATAAACACACCCAAAACCCATCATTACATACACTCAAAACCCATTTATAAACACACCCAAAAAGTTGACTTTGGGGTTGATTTTGGGTGTGTTTCTATGTTTAAATAGTGCTTGGGTTTTTTATAAATACATGTCTAGGATTGGGTTTATTTATAAATTTGTATTATTTTTAATAGGACATTCTGATAAGTAATGTAATGTTGTGTTCATTTTCTTGATTCTTCTGATCAAACTGATTATGAATTCTGCAGGTATACACAAGTGAAGAATCAAACCACCATTTGGGGGCACTAATCTTTTTGTTTGGGCAGCTTCTCTCTAGCATCCCATTCCTGTTTCTCATCTCCATTCCATCAAGTGTCGTCTTCTATTTCCTTATAGGATTGCGAGATGAGTTCAGCTTGTTAATGTACTTCATGCTGAATTTCTTCATGTGCCTCTTGGTAAATGATGGATTAATGCTGGTTGTTGTTTCTTTGTCGCGAGATGTTTTCTGGAGCTCCCTGACTCTGGTATCTGTACAAGTAAGTTCCTCTATCTCAATTCAAAGAATATACTTGAAGTTTCCAATGTCAGCATGTTCAGCATTGACTCATCTGCAACCCAACAATAACTTTTACATTTATTCATGTCATACTGCTTTTGCCTGCTCGAAGATAGTTTAATTTTGTATGGACTTGAATAAATACTACTGTGAAACCAAAACCTAGATTGTGTATCACAAAATACATGGCACTTGTGGTGTTTTGCGACATGGTGTGTGATAAAAGTGACTCATGTAACATATTAGTGAAGTATTATCCATCTGCTGTTCTTCTGGTCATGATTGGTAGCTGGTATAAGTTATAATCAATTTCCTAGCTTTCGCTAATGTTACAGTGAATATGTGTGAAATTTCAGGTGGTAATGATGCTATCTGCGGGGTATTTCAGAATTCGAAATGCTTTGCCTGGGCCAGTGTGGACATATCCAATATCCTATATTGCTTTCCATACGTACTCTATACAGGCAAGAGAATTTACAATGTCATTTGCAATTTTTTTTTCCTCTCTGCATAACAATGCTAAAAAACTGTTTTCAGGGAACTTGGTTCAGTTTCAAATTTCTCGAATTTTGTGACATAGGAAAAAAGCATTTCAGAGTCTTCTTCACATTCAAAATTCAAATATTTCATATTCTGGAACTAGTTGGCTAATTTTAACCTCTCTTACTGAAGGTTTTTAATCTGTTGACTACATGTTATAGGGGCTGTTGGAGAATGAGTACCTAGGGACTTCCTTTGCAGTTGGGCAGGTAAGGACCATATCTGGGTATCAGGCACTTCGTAGTGCATACGACATCTCTCCGGACAAAAATTCCAAGTGGCAAAATTTATTGATCTTATTTCTAATGGCAGTTGGGTATCGTATTCTCGTCTTTGTTGTACTGTACTTCCGTGTAGGGAAAAAAAAATCTTTACATAACATTTTCAAGTGTAATCGGGATACAACAAACAATGCAAGATGAATGAAGTCTTCACTTGCAATGAGTGTTGTTTGGCCGTCACATTTTTGTAATTCCCTGTTGTCCGTAGGCAAGTGCAATTTTGCTGTGAGAACCTGCTATGATCTATGAAATGATAAAGTGCATATTTTAGGGAGCTTTTGCTGATTATTTCTTTTGTTGCGAACTTCTTGGAGCCCTTTCTTCCTTGTTATTCTAAATTTTTACAGAGCTGAGATCTGCAGTTCATGCTTTTTTTCATCCCAAGTTGATGTGAGAGGAGAATCACCTTCTTCTTGCGGTTGGAAAATAGTTTTGTATATAGGCAAGGCAAGTAACCCTACATATTTTGAAGTAAAAACAAAAATAGATGCAAACTTCATTTACATAGGAGTATATACAATATGTATTTCAATATCTATTTTAAGACTGCCAAGCCTTTAGCTAGTTATAAACAAAGCCATAGGAGTAGTATGTACAGGAAAAAAACAAAGGTTCCTTTGGAAATTAAAAAGTTTCATATTTTGGGTCATAGAGGCCCATATTTACAGTCACATCTTGGCCTTTAGGGCCTTGATAAAATTGTCCATATTTTTCTCTGATGATCCATTGGGTGTCGATGCATCCTCCAATGTCTTCTTGACCTTGACAACTGCTTTCCTGTATTCATCCTTTGATTTTCCATCCATCAAGCGGTTGATTTTCTCCGAAACTTCCTCTTTACTGACAGCCCTTCGATCGCATAAGTTGATCCCGATCTTCCAATCGTCAACCACTAATTTTCTATTGGTGAATTGATCAGTAAGCAAGGGGAAACACAACATTGGGACACTACACCAAATACTTTCCAACGTTGAGTTCCATCCACAGTGAGTCAAGAACCCTCCGATAGCCGGGTGGGCCAGGACCGCCTTCTGAGAGCACCAAGGTATGACGATGGCCCGGTCCTTAACCTGCTCTCTAAAGCCCGCGGGCAACGGTTCGGTGTCATTTGAGCTCACGATATCGGGCCGAAGCACCCAAACAAAGTTCACTTTGCTCAGCAGAAGCCCATTAGCAATCTCTATAAGGTCCTTTTTGGAAACATGAGCATAGCTACCAAATGAGACATACAAGACCGAGCCCTGGGGCCTGGTGTTGAGCCACTGGGTGCAGTCTGATTCGGACCACAGGCTCGTAGCCACTACATTCTTGTTGAATTTAGAAGGGAAAATGGGTCCAATGGCATAGAATGGCGTCTTGGATTGCAGGGCTGATATGGTCTCGGCCTCAATCTCCTGCACTGTGTTGCACAGATGGAAATGTGCACCTCTGGCGTCCTTGAATGCATTGAAAATGATGTGGTGGCACACAGATGTTGTATCAGTCTCCTGCAGAAACGACGTCATGTCCTTTGGTTCGATTCCTTGCACTCCTGGTACGTAATCTATGGTGTCCTCTCGCACATCTACTCACAAGAAAACCAAAATCATATATGTATCTTAGTAATTCATAAACAAAGACGAGATTTTAATCCGCATCGACTGCATTGCTAGTATATTCATCATAAATGCGAAACCCATGTAGACTTTGCTACGTTTCTGGTCTCCGGTAGAATCTAACTATTGCTAAGACAGATATGATTGTCGTACACATGATGCAAATATTTTTTGGCTAGATTGTGCATATGTTGTCAGAATATGAATGCGTTTGTGAGTCATATAATTTTTGTTCAAGTGCACGCATAACATTTCATATACATAGCAAAAGGACAAATATATTTAATGTTTGTTTGCTAAATTGATACGTCAAATTATCATGCTATAATCTAGACACCATACATTCAAACAAGAATTCGCTTCACAAAGGATATCGAGTCTGACCAATATGTCAAATGTCTATCCAATTAATGGTCTAGATGGATAAGGTGACAACATTTAGGTATCATTATCCTATTAATAGCAGCAGCTTACCCTGACATGCAAAATGGCCATTCTTTCGAAGAAGATCAAGATGATAATACAAAGTGAAAACCAAAGCAGGTTCTGTCCAAAAAGAAACATAAAGCAGCCCAAACTTCTTGGCAATCTTGGACGGCCACACGAAGAACGTGTCAGCTATTATGCAAGTAACTGGTGTGGTGTCAGCCGAAGACTTAACAACCTTTCCCACGACCTCCTCTGCGTGGGCTGAAAACACATGCAACAAAGATGCCATGAACTGGTCATGGTTAAGGGACCGGTCAAACTCGAGGGGGAGTCCATCTGAGACCGTAGCGTAGTCTATGTCGAGCCTGGAGGACTCACGTACGTAGGCAAAGGGATCGCTGCTGGAGTCTGGTTGGGCTTTGGAGGTTTGGTGGTGGATGGAGTGGGTGTTGATGAAGGTGATCTTGAAGCCACGTGAGGCAAGCTTGATGGCTAGATGGACAGATGGGATTACATGGCCTTGGAGAGGGTAGGCAATGAAGATGGCGTGAGGGCGCTTTTGGTGATGGGTATTATGAACCGAGTCTGCCATTAACGCATGAATTAAAGATGAGTTGCAAAGAGAGAGAAAGAGGGAAAGAGAGATATATATTTGCTAGGTTTTTGGGTGTTAAGGTTATGAATCCCAAGTTGTACGGTACTTGATTTGACTCAAATAGATTATGACTGAATTTGCCTTTCTTTGCGGAAATACATTTTGGTTGATCGAGAGCAAGTGGTGAATAATGATTGGTATCAATTCATGTTGAATTTTAAGCCATTTCCAAATTACTACTCAAGTTCTTATTTGAGGGATGCTCAACTAAAGCTCTTCGTTTAGTTCCCTTCTATTGAAGGACACCATTTAGGATACCCGACAAATATTTTTTGAACGATCCAAACCGTCTATTTTTCAAGTCTTCATTCATAAATCATCCTGGTAAAAAAATAGGTGAACGCAGTACTTCAAGAAAAAACTACAATAACAATCATCTAATTGAGTGGTCAAATGATCTTGAATTCAAATGAGTTTTTGCAAAGTTGATATTTGAATATCTAAAAACCCAAGCACATTTCAATTTCAGAAGTAAAAGGGATAAAAGCTTATAAGGTGTCTTGTGTTGTGGTGACTAAGAAAAATCTTAGTTTTTTTTAATAAAAAAAAATTCAAAAACATTAGCTAGCTTAATCCTATAGGTATTAGGTATACACACTGGATTAATAGGTGTATTTATTTTGGTTAATAAGATAAAATTTAAAGATAAGATAATAGGTTAAAAGCCGATGATCAATTGGTGGATGACAGTTTAGTCTCCACTAATTAGATACTATTTGATCAAATGACATTTAGGGTTCTCTCGGTTTTTTTTTCTTTTCTGAAAATGGAAATATCCCAATCCCTGGATAAGTTAGCCGCAACTGCATAACAATATTCATGCATGCCAAAGTGCCAAGCGGCTGTTTGTGTCTTTATCTTCCCTCAAAATGTGGCTTCTAAAAGTTCAAAGCTTACGATCAAGATAAAGCGTACATGGATTATGCACAAATCTTTAAGAAATCAAATTCCTAATCCCTAGATCTGTTAGGATTTTTTTTTTTTTTTTTTTTTTTTTTTTTTTTATACTTATGTATACTACTTATCTTATTAAAATTATCAATAATGCTACGGACACTAACTTGTTTACCAACTTTTAGATATTAACACATGTGGCACATGACATGACAATCCATGTCATCTACCATGTCATCTGTTTTAATTACATAATTTGTTTTATAAAAAAAAAAAGTATTTCACCTAACAAAAATAGAAACATAAAGAAAAAAAGAAAGAAAAGAAACCCAATGATATTAGATTTAGGGATAAACTCATCCCTTTTGTCTTCCTCCTGAAAAACCCTAGAAATTCAACAGTCTTCCATTGAAGAACTAAAGCTCTTATCACAGTAGTCTCTGTCGTCAATGAAGCATATAGAATGTTTTAATATGAATCGTATTATAATTTTTCTTATGAATTTTCATTGTGCCTTTTCTTTTCCTCCACTTTCTGATGTACAAAGGAGAGTTCATATTGACACATCTGGATGCCATAAGAAATAGACTTCATATTTGTACAGCAATCCCCATCCCCAACATGTACATTATCATTGCAATCTCTCCGTCTAATAAGTGTATATTATATATGTTTTTTTTCCTTCAATTAAATGAAAAGAATTACAATGATACAAGTGATGAACATAGCCCCTATATAAATTTGAGTAAACATGCTCTATTATTTATGTTGCCCAATAGACTGCTGCAGTAAGAGCTTTAGTTCTTCAATGGAGGACTGTTGAATTTCTGGGGTTTTTCGAGGGAAGGGAGGAAGACAAAAGAGATGAGCGTATCCCTAAATCTAAATCATTGAGTTTCTTTTCTTTTTCTTTTTTTTAATTTCTGTTTTTATTTTTGCTGTGTGAAATTCTTTTTTTTATTTTATTTAACAAATTATGTAATTAATACAAATGACATGACAGATGACATGGGGATGCCATGTCATATGCCATATGTGTTGGTATCCAGAAGTTGGTAAATAAGTTGGTACCTGTAGATAGAATTTTTATGTGTCAGGATATAAGTCGGGCGATCACACGAAGGTCATTGAAGTCACTACAACGATGAATTTTGACACTCACATTTTTATATAAGAAAGTGTTATTGGTTCTTTATGTTTTTCATAAGAGAAAAATTGCACTTCAAAGAATGCTGGATGACTCTTTTGTAGTGTCAATATCAATTTCCTTTATATATTAAGCAATACCGGCTTCATATAATCGTAACAAAAAGAAAAAGACATTGATCACAATCAGTTGTTCATTTTTTATATTAATTAAACATATATATATGGGTTGGTACAACTGAACTAAATTTGTGAGAATGAAATTAGGGTTGTTGTATGCATCCCATCTCTGTTTATTTGTGGCATATAATATATGCACTCAATCTCAACTAATTTGACAGTAACATAAGTTCTCTGCTGCTTCACTCACTTTGCAAGATCCAGCATTTTCTAGACTGATTATACGTTCCCGGCACCATTGGTTTGCAGCTGGGCTTGTAATCTTCGCATGGCCCCATGGCAATAAACGTCACGTCTGCAACTTTGTATACAAAACAAAAACAAAATTCAAATTTCTCCTCAAGGTAAGACAATGGAAAAAAGCACCATGAAAAGGCCTCTTGTTTGACTAGAAAAGTTGATGAAAGACATAGCACCAAGGATATTTGTTAATATTTGTTCTTCCCTTTGCTATAAGTGAATGTGATGGATGATTGAATCATATGATGAGAGCCTTACCGAATGGAAGGAACCATTCCCCTACTCGCTTACTAATGGAGCCGGAACGAAGGCACAAATCATGACATGCCGTCTTAAATTTTATGTGACTAACAAGATAAAATTCAAAAAATGTTATGGTGACTATTACACATTCATAACTTTAGAGTTTAGTAGTTTTCAGATTTATAATTTAGAAGGGTTTCAAATGCATTGTTTGTAAGCTGCAATAGTGTTCGAACTTAAGACCGTTGGTCTGGAAGTCGAGGCCCTTTTTTACTGGGTTAGATCCGTTTGCATTCTTGCCGTTTCGTGAACACCTTCCTGGAACGGTTGAATTTTACCTATATAGAATTTTTAAATTTGGCAGGAAAAAAAAGAGACCTTTTCATAGTCTAAAGTCTAAATTCCAAGGTCCATTGCGAAAAAAGCCATAATATAATTAATAGTTTGGTGATGTTTCAACGCGTTGGTGTAGTTTGGTCCCGCCTCCCAAAGTCCTCACGGCATCCAATCGTATATTCCAAGTTGGTCAGGCGTTTCACACGCGAGCCTCTTGTATTGTTAGCCCATTGAATTCTATGGAGGCTTGGCATTTGCTGGTAATGGTGGGGCTCCCAAATTCCCAATTCCCGCGAAAACCCCCGAAATGCCAAACAAGAACAGCTCCTTCTGAATCTCCTCTTTGATTCTTCAATCAATTTCAATTTCAATTTCCTTGTCTCGGAATTGAAACAAGCTACGATTACCAATTCAAATGGCGGCCATGGCGATGGCGATGGCCGGGTTGATGAACGGAGAGAGAGCAGTGGTGCTTCTGTTCATCGGTCGTGTCCTCTTCTCGCTCCCTCTCTCTCTCCTCTTCCACGGCGTCGCCCTCTCTCTCCTCGCTCTCTCCGCTCTCTCCCTCGACATCCTCGCCGACTCTTCCACTTCCCTCGCCCAATTCAACACCAGGTCTTCTCTCCTCTTTCATTTTTCTAAATCTTAGGGTTCTTCAACTTCTTCAGATGACGACTGGGGGCATTATTGTAATTTTCATTGTTTCAGGCCTGGTGCTTCGTCGGGCATACTGTTAGGGGCCGTCACGTTGCCCACTGTTGTGATCTCCAAAATGATACAGCTCTCACGGGCGTTCCCCTTGGACCAAGTTGGCATTGAAGGTACTGGTTTCGTTTTTTGACTTAATTGGACCGTTATCTTGTGGCATATAACATTAGTTTGAAAGTTCTGAAATTTAGAGACATCAAATTAAGTTAAAATTTTAAATTTCATTTCAATTTTGTAAGGATGAGCTAAAAGGTTCAAGCCCTCATTTTCGACAATTAATTTAATGCTGGCAATTTGTTCTTCATACTATAAAATGTAGCTGAAATTAGTATTTTCCTATCTGAGATGAGGTGATAGAAATGACATCTTTAGCATTCCGTTAGCTGGGTACGTAGGTCCTTATAGCAGTATGTTTCTTCTCTTTTGGAGATCATAACCCTCCTTTTTTCTTTTCTTGATGCAAGATTTTGTAACGTTTTGTGTTAACTGGTAACTCTTTTCATTTATTGCTTTTATTTGATTTTACAAATTTCCCACCTTTTCTGTTCACCATATGATTCCTCCCTAATATGTTAAAATCTGTTCAATATTACTGTACAGAACTTGAATCTTTGACGTTGCAATACTGGGCTGCTTCTGCCAGCTGTCTGAGTGTGCTTATCTTCCTCTGCATAACTCTGTGGCGGGCACCTGAGAATATGCCTCCTCCACCTGCACATAATGTTTGGCATGCAAAATTTAGCTTAAGTTGCATAATATTACACACAGCAGTGAGCTTTGTGACTTTTGGTACAGTATCTCTTACTAGTAAGTGGTCTGCATCTCTTTCAAATCCTTATTTTCTGAATTGATTTAGGAACATGGAAACTGTTCTCTGCTTGTGGTTAAGCCAATATTAATTGGACAACTGAATCTTTATTTGCTCCTTCCATACAGGCTTTGAGACTGCATTGAAGTTATTGTGGATGCTTTGTCACGGATTGGCAGCTGTAAAATTAATTCAGCATGTTATTAAAACTTTCCCATCTTGTGCTTCCATTGGTATATGCCTTGCTACTTTTTCTACTCCACCTACACTTTCTTGCAAAATGCAATGGAGTTTTTCTTACTGATTGAAGAAGGGAAAAAATGTAACTTGCTAAATGGAAATAGTTTAGCTTGTTAGGTAGCAGTTAACTGCCCATAGAGTGTTCATGTTGCCCTCATGTTTTACTGGCTTTTAGCGGTTACACAATTAAAAATTGATGCAACCTAGTTCATATGTTCTGACAGATATTTAAGTTCTTTAAACATTAACTGTCTCAGTTAACTCATCTTGAGTACTTGTAGTTCAATTTTTATATTATTCGTCACCAAATGATCAGATCACTCTCTCTCCTCTTCTTCTCATATCTTTGTGCTTGCTTTTTCTTTCGATTTCTATCTCTCTTTGTGAAAATCATGTGTTGAGGTATTTCTTGATCTTTTCTCAGTAATTGTTGATGTTCTCTTTTCTTTATTATTTTTTTTCTAGGGGAATCATGTCTGGTGACTTCAGGTCTTGTTCTCTATTTTGGTGACATGTTGGCATATACCATTGAAAAGGTTATTGTTTCTGCTCGATTTAGCTATGTTTTCTCTCGACAAATTTGCTTTATATACTCATCTTATTGGTGATAACATTGCTCACACAGGTGTCTGGGTTTACTATGAAATCAGAGGTGGTACGATATGGAAGTAAAAGAAGTGAGATAAGTATTATTATACAGGTATGTTTCTTTAAGAGGTGAAATTGGTTGCAAGTGGCATGACTGGAATCCAAAGGTTGTTCCTTTTTTGTGCAGGGATTGCTGCTTGGCCTTCTTCTTTTTCCAATGGTCTTTAAATTTGTTCTTCGAATATGGGAATCCACATTCAGTATAGCCCGTTCTGAAGTTAGGACAAACAACGAGATTTGGAGATCTCTTATCTTCTTTTCTGCCCTTGGATTTATCATGATTGTGATCATTCCGTCATGGATGCAGTTGGTTCAGGATTTTCATATGCATCCGTTGCTATGGTATTACCCTTCATAAATTTGATTTTAATGATACTTGTTTACTTTAACTGGATTGTTTTTATTATCTTCTAACCAACGTGGTTATTGGGTTTCTGTTTGGTGGTAACCCAACACTATAGGCAGGTATGGACTGAAAGCTTTGCATGGTATTTAATAGAAAATCAAATGCTGCAGTCCATTACATACGTTTTTAAGACTACTAAAAAACTAGGCCCTAATGACACAAGTCATAAGTTGCTTCTGTGCTTAACATGATGAAATATGCTGGAGTGGGAAGCAATCATAATATACAAGTGCTCTGAAGTCTGAACTAGATACCAAAGGGTCTGTGTGCATGTTGATATCATGCATAGGTTGTGACTCCACATGAATGCGCAAAACTAGATAACAAATCTGAATCAAGTATCACTTCTTATAGGTCTGTGCAGTTGCAAGTATGACTTAGGCTAGAGGGAGAGATTGTGATCAGTGATGCCAGCGAAACTGCTTTCCATAGGTTGTGATGTAGGCCTAGAATTGCAATTAACTGGACTTTCTTTATGCTATATTTTCTGTGTTTTCAACTTCCTTACTAAAAAGCGTTTTGTCTCTTTTTGGTAAAAAGAATTTCCTGTAGTTTGAATGGTAGGCTCCATGCCAACACCAGAGTTACTAGGGTCTTTTTCATATTTGGATTTGCAGTACTGGCATGGGAATTGTGCCATTAGCCCTGGTGTGTGGCACACAGGGTTATACTTAATTGGTTAGCTATTTTTAAGCTTCAAGCTCCAATTTTATGCTTGCCATTTTGGTTGCTTGCACACAACTTGAAGTACATCAATCCATGTGTGCACATATGCATAATATTTAATTTGAAGCTCACAATATATTTCCTATTCCATGGTACGCCAACATCTTCTGTTCTTTAGTGTTGAAAAGTTTGACATTTTATCTATTTTTAGTTCCCCATGTATCATGGTACGTTGGAATTCCGGTTTTGGAGAACTGGATCGCCAAAATACCATGAATTGGGTACAAGATCTGGATTTGGGTTGTGATGGGTACGCAATTTGGTAACTCTACGGCAAACCTTGCATGGGATATCACTCGTATGGGATATCACTTGTATAAGGTTCATCTAAGTTTTCCTTTTGTTGCATAACTTGGCTACTTGCTGTGAATGATACTGCTTTTGGTTCTATTTACCAAAAATATCTAATCTATTCTGCCAGATGGCTATCTTATGTCAGCATAAAATATTTTTTCTTTGGCAGGGTACTTTCATTTATTTTTTCGGAACCACTTAAGAGACTATCTTTGTGTGTCTACTGGATGTGCGTGATATATGTGTCTGTTCTAAGGTTCTACAACATTTCAAAGAATAGCAAGATTGAGAGGATTCTACTACGAAAATACTACCATCTGATGGCTGTGTCAATGTTTCTGCCTGCTCTTATCTTCCAGGTGACTTAGGACTAAGGATTGACTGTCATCCTGGTATATTATCTGCGTGTTCATTCTGGTTGTGTGTGTTTAGATATGCTCACTGTATGTTTCTTTTTCAGCCAGAGTTTCTTGATCTATCATTCGGTGCAGCTTTGGCAGTTTTCTTGGCATTGGAAATTATTCGAGTAAGTTTCCAAACTAGCACCTTATGTTAATGTATACAAAGAGCGAGGATAGAAGTCTGTCTTTCTTATTTCATTTTTCTTGACCATATCTTTGTGACTAGGTATGGAGAATTTGGCCATTGGGACAATCCATACATAAATTTATGAATGCTTTCACTGATCATCGTGACTCAGATCTTCTTATTGTCAGGTATGACAAGCCCTCTCCTGATAGAGCAAAGCTTTAAACACATAAGTTTGATGCAAACCCAACTGTGTTGTTTTCTATGTTGTTTGCTTTTTTCAGCCACTTTTCACTCTTATTGGGATGTGCTCTTCCTATTTGGATGTCTTCTGGGTACAATGATCGACCCCTTGCCCCCTTTTCTGGAATTTTAAGCCTCGGAATTGGAGATACAATGGTGAGTGTGCTTGCACTCGATGACCAGGACAGGAGTTACACCTATTGCTTAATTTATTAATTTGAATTTTTGTTTGTTTTTATGTCCAGGCATCAGTTGTTGGGCACAAGTATGGTGTTCTCAGGTGGAGCAAAACTGGCAGTAAGTAATTCTATTGATAAACTTCACCAAAGAAGGTGTTTCCATTAATTTTGTTAATGTATGCAAAACTTTTCCTTGTTCATAGAGAAAACAATTGAAGGGACTGCAGCTGGTATAACATCTGTCTTAGCTGCTTGCTCAGTTCTGCTTCCCCTTCTAGCATCAACCGGATATATTCTTACAGAGGTAGGCATATCTGTCTTTCTCTCTCTGCCAAATTAGCATATGACCGTTGCTCAATGAACCTATTACTTAGATAATGGAACTGGTTATTTGGTTGAAATTGGTTTAGAAAAGGAATTTCTGAATAAGATACCTAATTAGTCGCCTAAGTATGGAGTCAAGTGACCTAGACGAGTTGAGGTGCACTCTATGAACCAGAGTAGCTATGCAAGTGCAAGTAGTTCAAGTCCATTTAGTGTTTCCTAATTCGAAACAAAAATGCGGAGGCACCTAGTTGAGGCCAAGTTAGCCGTGTTTTTGTGCTGCAGGTTTTTTGTCAGCATGGTCAAAATGCTTGTGATTTATGTATGAGGTTTGCTAATGCTTTGCATTGCATCTTTTATTGGTGCCTGAATCTTCTGTTCCCCCACCCCATTTCTCCCCATCAAAATAACAAAGAGAGGCATACAGAATGTCGTCATGGTAGCCAGTGTTCTCTCTATTCCCATCTTATATGGATTTGTTCCTTCATCTGCTCATGATTTTGATGCCTAACTTTTACAGCATTGGGGCTCTCTTCTCGTAGCCGTGACTGTGAGTGGTTTGTTGGAGGCTTACACGGCACAACTTGATAATGCTTTCATACCACTTATATTCTACAGCCTTCTGTGTCTGTGAATGCTGCTCCAACCTCCTGGACGGAATATAGGTATGGCAGTGGGCAGTGATGAGACCTGCCTAAAATCATCTTCTTTTACATTCATGTATATACTTTGAGCACCTTTTTGTACATATACAACTAATCTGCTGACACAGGATACAAACAGCCTGTTGTACTTTAATTTCTTTGTAGGTCGAAATGATTTTTGTTTTAGGCTTTAGGAATACATATAAAGGGCAGTTCACTCAACTGTGTCAACATAACATACAAGAATTCACTTTTGTAATTAAAATTCTTTATTTTTCCCTGAGAGAAAGGAAGGGGGTTCCGAGGTTGGTTAGGAAGATGAACACATGAGGGATGTAGATTTTGTTCCGATACAGATGAAAGTTGTTGTATTAATAATGCAAATAGATTTTCTTTTCTTTTTGGCACATTATTATTAATTGACTTCACAATGTTCTTTTTCATCCATTATGAATTCATAAGTTTGCATATGTTCAAACCAATTAAGAAACAAAATAAGGGTTAAGTACCCCTTTGGTATCTGTTTTTCTCCAATTTCATTTTGGTCCATGTGTTTGGAATCTTCAAAAAAAAAAAATTAAGACAAAAAAAAAAGGTGTTTGTAATTTGATCAATATGATCCTTGTGTTTTATCCCTGCCACGCATGCTTGAATTAGACGGAAAGGGCCAAAATGGTTTACAGTGACCAAACTGAAAATCTGAGTAAAAGACACGGATCTAGAGATCCATTGCTGAAGTTTTTTTAAATTTGTTTTGGTTGTAATCAACGGTTGAGGGAGATACAAATTTGGGACATTTTCCGACATTGAACGTCTAGAAGAGAAGTAGCCCAAGATAACTGTCTACTGCTTCTTGGATAAACGAGACATAATAACTGGTAAAACCCACAAGAAATTTGAATGCGCATATATCTACATGTTTACATGCAATTACCTGAAAAGAAAACATAGCTATTAATTTCTTTGGTGGCAAAAGCCGTAAACAATATGGCACATATATATGCTTAACATATCCTAAAATTCATAATTGGAATTAGTTAGTGAATTATTTGGAATAAAACTTTCGTGATAAAATTTCTTATTATTTGGCGGAAGGCTCTCAAATACCATTATTACTTTCAAATAACATTATTACTTTCAAATAACACTATTACTATAATAAAGAGCCTTAGTACATCAATATCATCTCAATATGTTGTCGATATGACCCATTTTTTGGATAAGAAATAGTCATATAGAGTCTTATATGACAATAAAGTATCAATATTTTGTCGATATTATCTACTTGCTATAATAATCTTGGTATTTGATAGCAATTTCCAATTATTTTCTAATTAACTTCTTCCTACCCGTAAAGTTGAATTAGGTTACTTTTCATTAATTAAGAATGGATTGTTTGGTTTTGGGTACCAATGACGAACCTATTAAGGCGCAAGGAGGTGCAGTTGCACTTCCCCTCGTTAAAAAATAAATAAATAAATAAGTGTAGGTGTTTCAAATTGCTCATTTGCTCAAGCTGATGGTTGTGCACTCCAGGTGTTCGACAACGCAAGCAGCAACGCATTGCGCTAATATATATATATTTTTTTTAAGTCCCAAAAAAGAGGGGGATTCATGGGCTTTCAACAAGGCTTGCATTTCGTGGGCTTTAAACAAGGATTCTTTGTTACAACAATTTTTGTCGTGGGCTTTAAACAACAACTCTTTCCTAAACAAGGCAAGCATTTTGTGGGCTTTAAGTAGTGGAAAATGCTAGGCGTAACACATTTATATACCACATTGTGTACCACATCTCTAATAGATGTGATAAGCCTAGCATTACCCTTTAGCAATTCTTTTTATTTATTTATTTATTTTTTGGTATGAGGTTTTCATGATATGAAACCTCGTTGAAAACAATTGTAGCTTAATTGAACTGCTATTTTTTTTTTCTATTACTTATGAATGACATTGGTATTGTTTAAATTATAAGAATATTTGGCTGTCAATTTTTCATTATAAAGCTTTTAGCGTTTCAAAATTGCATATCTGCTAAAATTCTTGGATCCGTCAGTGCATGCTATATTGCCGTCAGTGCATGCTATATTGCCGATATTTGATATACTTTTTGTCTTGATTGATATTCAGAAATAGCAACAAAACATGGCCCAAATATCTACAATGTACATTGTAGATTTGCACTCGATACCGGCCGACCACTCCTCTTTTGCGTTATTAAACTATACCGTTCAAATGTTCGTGTTTCTCTTTTGATCCATGGGTTTCTTCACAACCATGTTCACATATTCTCCTCTCAAATAGCATTGTGACAAGTTCATTTTCATACGTTGGAGAAATACTATTCAAACTAGTCACACATGATGGAGCCCTCTCCGTACCTCATCACCCCAACTAAAAGCTAAAAGAAAGTAATCAGTGAACAGACAATTATAAAAAGAGGCATCAAGTACAGCCGACGGTTTCTTCCATCTATTTCATTGCCCAGAAAACATATGGAGCCTATTGTCGAGAACTTTTTCAATAATGAATCAATCTCAAACCTGCATTTTTGGTCTTTCTCTAGCTAACAAAAATATCTACATGGACAGCTGGATTTGATCCCATAAATATCACTTTTGATCTTTTATATTTTATGTCATGGACAAAATGTGGACCTTTAGATTGAGAAGGCACAAAGACTAGACAAGTAAGTGAGCAACTTCATGTTCAAAATTCAAGCCTTATGACCACCTGGAGGAAGCAATTACAGTTGTTTCAGTTTTGTTATAGAAGACAATAACATAAAGTTTAAGCACCTTAATTTGTTACAATGAATTGTGTTGTCTTAAGTGTGAAGAGAAGCATGGTTATGGACATTGCAGAGCTTTCTTAATTGTGTTTGTATATATGTGAGAATAAAGGTGCAGAATATTTGATGAAATTGCATGTATAGTTCCTGAGAAGTAGAGTCATCTGCTGGTTCATTTCATATATACCATGAATGACTTAAACTAAAAGTTACTCACAACTTGTGAGTCACAAGTTCATTGTCCAATGATTAGGAGTGTCATATTACTTGAGTTATTATTTAGAACACACAAACACACAAGAATAGGAGTAAAACGTATGATAAGAATGTTAAATTTCAGAGAGATGGGCTAGCAGTCAATGGTTAAAGTGGGTTTTAGCTCAGTGCTAAATTTGGAGATGAAAAAAATTAGTGTTAATTTTATAAGTCAAATCCAGGTTAATGAAAAATAGTCCACCTCTCTTTGTTGAAATTAGCCTATCCCAACTGTAAGATTTCATCTCTAGAGACACCCACACACATCAAACATCATGTTTTTCTATTACCCACCCATGTATTACTTTATATTTGAACTTGAGAGCTTAGAAGTAATAGGTCTCCTCCTCTTTAAAATTGTATCAAACTATATCCAATGGGTTCTTATTAGTAAGTTTCTCTCTTACTTTTTGTTTAATTTCCAATTTCAATTGTTATTGTTAGCTTTTTATGATTTAGGGTTTGGATGTTAAATTTTGGGGACTTTTCTCTTATACTATTTGCTAGGATCTTATTGATGACTCTTCCTTTTTCTGGTTTAATCTATTCATTACTTGATCTCAGCTATTTTTATATAGTCTACTTGTCTCTTGGTTTTGTTGAATGGTTGTAGCTTGTGATTGTGCAATTGTATCTATATTACTGCACCCCCTACTTCTATGTCTACTCCCATAAAATTTAAAAATTGTTAATTGAAGAATAGTTGCTACCACTCATTTCCTTTGCACGTAAACTTGTTTTTAAGGAAAAAAAAAAGGGTAATATAATGGATCTCCCATAAGAAAATATTAGTCCACCCTTATAAAATTTCATAGGTCAGCCTTTGCCAACAGCCCACTGCTAGCTTCACCGATATTTTTCCCTACTTAACCATATACAAAGCCCAGTAGGGGTGTAGGGTTTTATCACAAAAGCCCTCGGTGATATTAGTAATGGAACCATTCATTATATGTTATGTTTTATTTAGTCAAGTTTCCGATGTGAGACTTAAATTATTCAACAAAGAATTGAATGCCCGTAGCTCACAAGATCTATAATGACTATTATGGTTGGTTGATATAATTTTTACGAAACAGAACTTTACCACTTAATGCACAAAACGTAAAAATGTAGAACATAACAAGAAGGATTTAGAGATCAATGAAAAAAGACAAGAAGATTTCGCATTGATCATGATTTATTATTATTATTATTTTAGGCTTATGTACTCTTTCACCCTTGGAATAGATACTCGGTCTTACTTTATCTTGTCAAACTGAAATTTTCTCATTTAACCCCTGAATCTCTAAAAATTGCTGAAATTTTCTCACTTTACCACTTCCGTTCATTTTCATCCACAAAACCGTTAAATGTGATGACATGGCATGGACATTATAGTAATTTTAGCTCCTTCACTTCTCTCTTCTCTTTGTCTCTTTCTCCTCTCTGCCTCTCTCTTCTCTCCCCTCCCCTCGCCACACCCAACCCCCACCCTAGACCTAACCCTCCATGGAATCACTCAACACACCCAAACCACCACCACTCAATTTTTTTTAAAAAAAATCTCCTTTCCACTCCCCATATTCTCTCTTCGCAGAGATAGTGAGAGTGAGAGAGAGAGGTATATAGAAGAAAGAGGGGGGAGGGGGTGGGGTGGGGGGGTGGGGGTTGGGTCTGGAGAGAGAGAGAGAGAGAGAGAGAGAGAGAGAGAGATAAAATAGATAGTTAAAATTACTAGAATGCCATGCCACGTTAGCACCCTTAACGGTTTTGTGGACGAAAATGGACGGAAGTGGTTAAATGAGGAAATTTCAATTTAAGGGAATAAAGTGAATTACTAGAATGCCCATGCCATGTTAGCACCCTTAACGGTTTTGTGGACGAAAATAGACGGAAGTGATTAAATGAGGAAATTTCAATTTAAGGGAATAAAGTGAGATAGAACATCATTTTCTGAAGGTAAAACAA